TTCCAGCCAATGCGCACCAACTGTTAATCTTCTCGCCGAGGTGGAGTACCAGGAGCCCTGGAGTCAGAGCGCTCTACATGCATTGCTGGTGTGGATGGGTAGTGAGCTAGGGAGCCCAGGGCTGCTTTAATGCGCTCTAACTCGCAAGTGTAGCCAAGCCCTGGGACTGAGAACCAGTGAGTGAGTGAAAAGAAATAGGCAGGGAGGGAAGATAAATCTTATGAGGAGACAGGATGCGGGGGGAGGGGAGAATTGGGACTGGCTGGACAAAGAGTCTAGGACCAGGAGCCAAGTGGTGGAGGAACACTGATTGGATGAAAAAAAAAAAAAAAAAACACCAGTATGTGATCATGTAAATAAAGACCGTATCACAGCATAAAAGGGTAGCAGGTGTAAATTCAGGTTGTACATGTCATGGCATTCTGGCAGTTCCTAACTTTTGAATGCTTGACTTTGCAACCTTAATAATGTTCTTCTAATGCACTTTGTGTGTGTGATATATCTATAGAAGCAGCCATATTACAAGATATTTAGTTACTGAAATGATCAAACTAAACACACAAAATTATGTGAACTTTGCCCCCTTGAGATACATCTGTGAGCTAGTTTTGTTCTCCTCTTGGGTCTGGTAGCAGGAGACAGGCATCTTGATACACCATGGCTCATGGACAGTCAACTTGTTAAGTACATAAGGCCTGATCCAATGCCCATTGAAATCAACAGGAGTCTTTCTACGACTTCAGTGGGAAATGGATCAAGCCCACCATTGATCGGAAAAAGCAACAGAGAGTCCTGTGGCACCTTTAAGACTAACAGACATCTGTTAGTCTTAAAGGTGCCACAGGACTCTCTGTTGCTTTTTACAGATCCAGACTAACACGGCTACCCCTCTGATACATTGATCCGAGTAAGCTTGCTGAGAATAATACCGATTTACCAGCATTTTTCCTGCTTTATTCAGGACAGCAGTATCCTAAGGAGACTTTGGCTTCACACTAAAAATTCACCCAGTTCCATTTGCATCATTAGGATGCTAAGAGCAGAGCTAACTCCCACTGGACAAAAGCTTGCTCTCGTCCCCCTTGCTCCAAACACCTTGAGAGAGAGCATGACTGCACAGGCAGCATATGGGTGAATACCAGACCTGCGTCTCCCCTAATCTCTTATGCCACAGAAGCACTGCCCCCACCGTTCAACACAGAGTTCACAGCTACAGCTTTACAAAAACTGCTCTGACTACATCAGGAAAACACTTTTAAAATCATTTCAGCTACTGTAATGGGGCTTTGCCAGCAATGCTGTTGGGGTATAAACTTTGATATAACAGCTTTTGAAACTCTTCTCTTTGCAGAAACCATTCCAACAAAATTGCACTCCACTTACACTGGCAACAGAACTGCTAGCTGCAGCTGTTATTCAAACTGGTTTGTTTGTTTTTGTTTTTTAAAGAACGATTTCCTAACAGGCAATTTTGTAGAGTCCACAGGATTCCAGTTGGCTACTGATTGTGCCTATATGATACTGAATGCCACAATCATATCTTCTGCCCACTGTCTTAAAAAAATCTTTAAAAGACTCACAACTGCTGCCAGACTGACAGTACTGAAAACTGCTGTCTTTTATTTACAGAGCACGTGCCACGTGGTCAGCTCAGTATACACATCCCCACACTGCTCCACAATGGGCTCACATCCTGACCCTGAGCATCTGTAATTCAGTCTCTGTTCCCACTCAGTCCTTGGCAGGGCCAGATTTACATCTTGGGCGCCCCTAGGTGCAGGGGCTCAGAGCCCCACCCCGCCGCCTGCAGCAGCTCCGAGCTGCAAGATGCCACCGACGGGAGCTGTGGGGTTACCTTGGTGCCCATGGCAACTCGGAGCTCTGGGGGGCACCACCGCCCACAGCGTCTCGGAGCTCCTAACCTCCGTGGGCAGCCGGGGTACCCTGCCACTTTTAACTTTTAGGTGCTCCGCTGCCCACAGACCCCCAACTGCCCAGCACCCTCACACAGCCCCACTACAACTTCCCAGTGCCCCACACAGACCCCCCCACTGCCCAGCGCCCCCCCTTCACTGCCCAGAGCCCCCCCGCAAGCAACCCCAGAGACCCACTCTCCCAAGTCATGCCCTCCGGCCGTGCTCATTGGCCCCACTGGAAGGTGACTCTGTCCGCCGGGCTGAGTGAGGAGCGCTCCAGCAGGGCTGCGTAGGGCCGTCTCCCCCTCAGCAGGCTGCGCCCCCTGCTGGGACCAAGGAGCAGCAAAATTTGAATTTTTAGGCTCTCCTAGAATGCCAGCGCCCCTAGGCACATGCCTACTGTGCCTAATGGGGAATCCGGCCCTGGTCCTTGGCCCCTTTGCAGGAAAGGCCAACAGTGATACCAGTCACTGCCAACTGTGATGATGGGTTTCCAGAAGGGACACTTGCCATCTCCTCTGGGTGCTGGAGAGAGACCCCCACTATATCTCATAGAACAGGGTTCCAACCTTGTTCTTGCTGAGCCCTGCCTCAACATGCTATAAAAACGCCAGGGCCCGGTGGGGGGGGAAGAGCGCGGGGCTCCGGGCCGGATGGGGGGGGGATCCTTGGGCATAGACATAATTTTACTTCTATTTGGGGGGGGGGGGGGGGAAGGGGGGGGGGGGGGGCAGCCAAGGGGGGCAGGGGGGGGGGGGGGGGGGGGGGCTCAGTTCAAAAAGTTTGAAAACCGCTCAGGGTGCAGGGAGGGGGTAGATAGGGGCTGTGTGAAGTGAAGGGAGTAGCTCAGGGTGCAGGAAGGGAGTAGCTAGGGGCTGTGTACGGGCAGGGGCTCCCAGTGCAGCTCCCAGCTTCAGTGGGGGGAGGAGGGGGGCGGCGCTGGGGTTCCCGGCTTCTGCCCCCTGCTACTCCTAACTTGGGGAAGGGAGGGTTGTTGGCTTCAGCCCCACGTTGCTCCCGGCTTTGGGGGCTTGGGAGGGATCCGCCTACAGCCCCACACTGCTCCTGGCTGGGGCAGGGGTCACCGGTTTCGGCCCCACGCCTCTCCCGGCTGGGGAAGGGGGGGTGCCAGCTTCAGCGCCGGGGCTCGGGGCACCAGGTTTCAGTGGGAGGGCTTGGGGCACCGGGTTTCAGTGGTGGGGCTCCACGGCCCCCCTGAAAGAGCTCATGGACCCCCAGGGGGGCGCAGACCCCCGGTTGAGAACCGCTGTCATAAAGGTTACTACGCAGTCATCAAATGTTAGTAGCCAAAAGGTGTTTGGATTACCACCCATTCAGTTTTTCTGGAATCATCCCATTTTTAACAAGAAAATCTGTCTCCCATAAGTACTCTGATGAGTTAATGGGTCCCAAACATACTGCTGGCTCTGGGAAAACATCACCACATTGCAGTGTAAGTGATGTCCAAATTAGTCCCATTAACCTGCAAAACTATGATGACCGATCTAACTTATGTGCATTCAGACCAGTGACTTAGAGGTGAAAGACTCTCTCTGTATTTCCAGTGGGCCAATCACCATACTGTCTAGGTACATCCCGTTACCAGTAGCTCGAGTGCCTCAATCCCCTTTTGTCTGCCTGTTAATTAAAGGAGAATTTGTTGTTTTGCTTACCCCATTTTCTTCTAGTGCTGCCAAGGGTTTATTAATGCTGTTGACAAATTTGTTGACATGCTCAAAGTGCTTTGTCATTTCTGTTGCTAGGACCATGTCAATAATGGCTTGACGAAGGGTTCGATATTCATTCCTGTTTAAAGAAGGAAACAATTGGACATGAGGGCTCATTCACTAAGGGCTGCTTGCTTAAACTAACTGAATCGCTCTGAAAAAAATACTATAGAGCACTAAAACAACAAGGAGTCCGGTGGCACCTTAAAAGCTAACGCTAACAGATTTATTTGGGCATAAGCTTTTGTGGGTAAAAAACCTCACTTCTTCCGTGCATCTGAAGAAGTGAGGTTTTTTTACCCATGAAAGCTTATGTCCAAATAAATCTGTTAGTCTTTAAGGTGCCACCGGACTCCTTGTTGTTTTTGTGAATACAGACTAACACGGTTACCCCCTGATACTTGGCACTATAGAGCACTGGTGTTCCAGAGATGGGTAGGGGAAGGGAGAGACAGAGAGAAGGGGCTGGTAAGCTGAATCTATGCTATACAAATGCATTCCTTTTGTACAGTGGCGTGCAGTGAATTATACCTTAGGGACACAGATTTGTCTCTCTAAGAGCTGCACGTGCTTGATGGGAGAGGAGATGCCAACTCCTCAGCAGTGCGGCCAGGAGACACTATGTGCACATGCCTCCCATGGTGCTCTGGCAGCACACTTAGCAGAGGGTCTTGCTCCAGCCAAGCTTCCGCCATCACTCTCTTGCTAACACAGCTGGGTGAGTAGGGAGAGTGGAGCTATGGTCATGCTCCCACCCCAAAATGCAGCAGCCTCTCCCTTTAGCCATCAGCCAGCCATATGACACCTGCCAACTAGTCTGGTGTGCTGAGGGGAAGGGGCTCCCCTTTCCATCCAGTTACGTGCACAGGTCAACCATTGCTTGGCCCTAGAGGTCAAATGATATAAAATGGATTTTTCAAAGCGGCACTGACACCAATTTACAAGCAACCAGATTCGCCCTTATTTTAATGCTATAAAAACAGTGAAAGTGTTCATATCGAGAGTTACATTGTAAGCTCCTTGTTCTGTATTTGTGCAGCGCCTAGGACAGTGGGGTCTTGGCCCAGGCCTACGGCTCCTGGGTTCTGTGGCAATACAAATCATCATCATCATCATTATCATTTAGATTTTGGCATTCTCTGCAGTATGAGAGAGATCGGTATTGTTTCATGAGCAAACCTACCAAGGGGCTAACTCCACCCCTCTAGAAGCTGCGATTTCCCTCTGGTGTGTTTGCTTGCATTTCTTTATGTTGCCGTAAGATATGTAGAAGAAGAATATGGTGGTTAATGGACTGATAAATGTCCCATATTTTCAACTCACCTCTCCATGTTTTTAAAGATATTGCATTTATCATCCTGTGTGGTGAGCTGGAAAGCCAGCGCCGCATGATGGCTCTCTAGCACCGCGGTGTCATTGTACAGGATCGCTAGTTCACTCCCCGCATTGCACAGGAAGGAGTTTGTTCTTCCTGGGTGATCCACATCATGGACAGTGGCAGCAATGAGAGCAGCAACCTCATCAATTGGATCCAGAGTTTGCTGAAAAGAGAAGTCAGGGACATTTAGGTTTCCTGGAAGAATCACTAGAAATCCTGCACGGGTCCTTAAAGGTTAAACTGAGCTGCTTAAAGGCAAAAGGCAGGATTCTGCAGATTGCTTTTAGGGTTAGATGTTCTAAAGAGCCATGGAAAGTTCACTGTAGGCTTCATGGAACTTTCCATGACATTTTTGGACATTTTGTGCCCTCTAAATTTTACTTTATTCACAATTTGGACAAAATGCATCAAACCTGTAAAACTGAGTTTCCGTGTTCTGCCATGGCAGAAACCGCCTTCACTAAAAAATGAGTATTCTGACCTGGAAAAAGGTCTGTTGCTGCTCAAAAATGGTTCCGTTTTGACAGAAAACCGGCCCGTTTTTGGCAAAAAAAATATATTAAAAAATCATGTACGATAGGCCAATTTTTGCTGAGTTCAGAATCAGCTATGGAAGACTGGTTCTGCAGGATGAGTGAAGATGTACTTTCCTGTCTAAGAGCCGTCTCGGTCCCATGGCCTGGCCAGCAGCCTGACTAAGTAGCACCCTACCCAGTGCAATAGTTATCTCTGTTACATTTTGACGACTGGAGATAATTACATTCTCAATGATGCTTTCCGCCCGCCCCATGGCCCAGGTGCAAGGCATTCCTTATTTTCTGGTGGAGCCCCAATGCTCCTCACTGGCTCTGGGGCTGCATTTTCTGGAGTTAATATGTTCTGATCTTTTTCCTGCTGTAAGGTTGGGGGGTATGGGCCTCTTTACATCTGCAAGGTTCTTGGGATGCACCATCCACTGTGCTTTATGTCTAAAATTGTGCAGCTTTTGTTTCGGCCTTAGAAGGCCTTTAGTAGCGTAGGCAGTAGTTAGAAGAGAGCAGGAAATCTGCATCTTCTCAGCACTGCCCTCTTTAATATGGTACAGCAGTCACTTTGTCTCATTTTGGGCATTTATGGGAAGTGTGAATATCTACAATTCACTCAGGCTGAAATTCACCCAAGTGCAAAGGGCCCCACGTAAGGGTCTCAGAACTCCGTAAGCCCTGCAGTTGGACTAGGGAGGAGGGGGAGTAAGGGATGGCAGATGGAACGGCTGTGAAGGGGTGCATCTTCACCCCAGGAGAGCCACAACAGGGGTTCTCCAGGCCAGTTGCAAACAGATTGCCATGAAATGAGGTCTTGGGGATGGTTCAGGGAAGGGATCACGGGATCTAAACGTACGCATAAAACCCTGCATAAGGGGCATAAATGATCTGTGGGGCTATTCCAGCCAGCTGATGGGGGAGATGGAGTCCTTCCCTCCTATCCCCTTCCCCGCCACTGGATCTTCCCACACAACCAATGGCTTGAGCTTTCAATTTATGGAGAAAATCCTGTAGTTCTCTTACTTCAATGGACGTTCAGCCTGAATAGAGACTTCGGGATTTGGTCCCAAAAATTAGCCACCAATATACAACAGCCGTCCATAAAAAAGCCACACCTTCCCAAAAAAATACGCACTCCATTAAATGTGGTTCTATTGTGTTAACTTGGGGCTTTTGTATATTGCCCTGCTGTGCAGACTACAGGATTGAGAGCTGCGGTGTGTGCAATAAAGTTTTGTGCTGTAAACTGCCCTGCATTGACATGGCCAGTGCAAATGAAAAGGTACCTAGTTTGTGTTAACATAGTCCTGTTTCAAACAGGACTACGTTAGCATGAACTAGGTGCTAGCAGGGTCTACATGGGGTAATTACAGCGCAACCCTCTAGTGTGCGCTGCAACTGATACCCCCTTAGTCTGCACCGTTGGGCCGTATAGACAAGCCCTCAATTGTAGCTGGTCCACTTGCATTGCTAGCGTTAACGGGCCCTTCTACGACATACACCAATTGTAGAGGTTAATTAGTACTTGCATCAGCAATCTATGGAAACCAACAAACCAACCACATTGGGGCCATCAGGAACAACTTGTAAACTCCAGCTTTATTTGGATTATCAAAATTTCAGCTCAACAAACCAGCACCTGCTTGCAATACTTCTTTCATGATACCTGGACATACAGAAAGAACAAGAACAGTGTAGCGATGGCTGACGCAGTCCACGTGGAAATCCAGGATGCTTTCCTTATCTATGTACTGTCCCCTATAGACTCTATGAGGCAACAGCAATATGTCTCAGGCTTATTCCCTTTGTTTGATGAGATCGCTATGTTCTGTCCAGCTTTGGATGAATTTACAGTCCATCATACATTGATGTCACATTGCTAATCTTAGTTCTGTCATGCTAAACCCTACTGCACACCAATGAAAACACAGTTCTACAAACACTGTTTCATTATTTTGTGGCCCAGATATGATTTTTGTTAATGCTCAATCAAGAATCTGGCCCAGAAATACTGCAGTAAAGTGGCAACCCTTATTCACACTGAGTAGCACCTGACTTGGTACGTAGTCCCAATGATCTCAATAGGTCTATTCAAGGAGTAAGATATTACTCAGTGTGAGTATGGGTGTCAGAATCTGGCATTCTTCTACCCGGTTAAGCTTGAATTGGAGTTAACAAAATTGCTGAGGCTGTAACTGCTCAGATACATGCGGTATCTCCTTTGCTTTTGTTTATTACAATTTTTCTTTTCCTGTGCATCCTGCAGATGAATAAAAAAACTTTTTCAAAAAGGGAAGGGCAGTCACACTTCTTTGGCGTTGGAATGATTCCAGATCACATCTGTTTGTCATAGATAGTCACGGGAAGGCAACCAAACCCTTGGCAACTTGAGGATTGAAAACTTCCAGTGAAATTCTCTCTCCTCCTTGGCGTATATTGCCTGAGAGTCGGCCTCTGGAGAGCAGGTTAATGAGCTGCAGCTCCAGGTTATAATACATACACCAGTTTTAATGAGAGGTTAGAAACTTGTTTACAATCACAAATGATGTCCCTTTGAGCAAGGTTCCACCACTAGCAAAAGGCTCAGGGAGGCCAATTCAGGATAGGAAGTTTGGTCCAAAGCTGTGGCAGAGAAGCACCCAATGCCACAGGGCACGTGTGTGTAAGTGTGGCTTTAGTTTATCTTTGCACTCCCCAGATCCCAGGCCAGCTGTATGCCAGTCTGTTCCCCCAGTATATTTTAGAGCAGTTCTAATTTACACTAGCAGCCAATGGTCCTGTAACTGTAAAGGATTCCCTCACCGCAGGCTCACCTCCATTGGCTGGACATGGCACAGCGGCTGTCTCCCTGTAAGGTGCCCCCTGCTGATAGTTGCTCTGTCGTTGTGGTCGTCTCTCTTCCCGCAACTTGGCCCTGCAGCCAGGTTACACTTTAGTCCACCCCTTCTGGTGTAACGAAGAGTCCAAACCAGATGCAGTCCAGTGACCTTACAGCAGGTCTTCCGCCTGTCTCTGGGCTCTAGTCCTTACACCCATTACTTCAGGGGGTTTCACCTCATCTTATTCAGTGGCTAGTAGGGGAATCACCAGGCCCACCCTCTACTCTGGGTTCCAGTCCAGGAATCCTGCAGCTGGAAGTCCAGGTCTTCTCCCTCAGACTTCTTGCTGCCTCCTTGTACTGCTGCCTACCTCTTCTATTCCCCCAGAGAGTAACTGCCGACTCTCTCCCCACAGTCTCTTTCTGCTGCAAATGTCCTGGCTTCATAGTCACCAGCTCCTGCCGAGCTGATCTTCATGTTCAATTAAGTCTGGCTTTCCCTCCATGTGCAGCCAGGCTCCTCTAAGGCCCACATAAACCCTGTCAGGGCCTGTGGGAGGTACACACCCCATCACAGGCCCCAATGGACCAATATGGTCAGAGGGCATAAGGAAACCCCAGACATGCTTCCTTTTTTGCCGCCACACCACTGATGTTGGCAATAGCAAAGGGCCAGGTTTGGCATTGGAGCTGCTATGCTTTCTCCATGACACCTGGGTATCCCCTATATGGGGGTGATCCTCCTGGGAAAGGACAAACAGGGAAGAAGGCTGCTTTGTTCTGATGGTGTGGTGCAAAGCAGCCTTAAATGGGCTTTTATTTTAAAGACCTGTTGGAGAGTGTATTTCCAATGAGAAAATGTTGCTCACCCATTGGACTTTCACACTGCTGGGGTGACTGTAATGGATTGTTTTCTTTTAAAAGGAGGCTCTCTCTAGCTCCTTCCAAGTACAGTTCAGCTCTGTGGTGCTGGAAACTACTACCAGACATAATTTCTTATCTAATATACTATAGGTCAGCTCCTCAGCTTGTGTAAATCAGCATTGCTCCCTTGACTTCACAAGTACTATGTTGATTTACATCAGCTGAAGTTCTGGCCCTATATATCACTTATTAGGGTTGATTTCCGCTAATGTTCCCACTACTCACGTATTTTCCACCTCTACTGTATTTCTTATAACTGTACACTTACCTTTACCCTTTCTTTGGATAAGAAATAGGCAGTGGCATGCAGGACATCTGCAGAATGAGTAGAATTATGATAGGAGTTGGAGGAATGGTAGTTGGCTTCAATAATTTGTAACCACGACCTCAGAGTTGATTCTGAACAGTTTAGGAATTCACAGATTCCAAAGCGAGCAAACATTTTGAGACCAAGATAAACCAAAGGCCTGGAGAGAAAAACAAACAGAAAGTTTTAAAACAAATGAGTTAGAAGGAAAACTAGACAGAGCAAATGAGACTAGCAGAGAAAGCATTTCTAAACTGTTGATATGTCAGATTAAGTATAACAGTTCAACTGTTCATAGAAATATACTCAAGATTTGTAGAAAGCTTCCACCTAACCACAATATTTGGGACTGATACTTCTGGAAGTTCCTGAGAATTATTAAAATACTAAACAGGTTCTATTCTCCTGATAAATCCATTTACAATTTTTGTTTCAGGGAGTCTTCTGTCTCTCTCAGGGCTCTGTGTCCCCCGCCAGCCTACCCTCAAGATTCCATGGCTCATCAACCTTCCTGTAGTAGAGAGAGATTGGAGGTGACTCAGTGCTTGCTGCTCAGGGAGAAGAGGCACTACTCACTCCCCTCCTGTCTATATTCACATTGTTCTTCAAATATCCCACTGTTGCTGTATCTGTTAACAGAACACCACTGGCCATCACATACAGCCCCCAGCTAAAACCTCTACAGCGCATTATCCACGATCTACAACCTATCCTGGAAAATGATCCCTCACTCTCACAGACCTTGGGAGGCAGGCCGGTCCTCGCTTACAGACAACCCCCCAACCTGAAGCAAATACTCACCAGCAACTACACACCACACCACAGAAACACCAACCCAGGAACCAATCCCTGTAGCAAACCTCGTTGCCTACTCTGTCCCCATATCTACTCTGGCGACACCATCAGAGGACCCAACCACATCAGCCACACCATCAACGGCTCATTCACCTGCACATCCACTAATGTTATATATGCCATCATGTGCCAGCAATGCCCCTTTGCCATGTACATTGGCCAAACCGGACAGTCCCTCCGCAAAAGAATAAATGGACACAAATCGGACATCAGGAATGGTAACATACATAAACCAGTAAGTGAACACTTCAATCTCCCTGGTCATTCTATTACAGATTTAAAAGTCACTATCATTGAACAAAAAAACTTCAGAAACAGACTTCAAAGAGAAACAGCAGAACTAAAATTCATTTGCAAATTTAACACCATTAATCTGGGCTTGAATAGGGCCTGGGAGTGGCTGGCTCATTACAGAAGCAGCTTTTCCTCTCCTGGAATTGACACCTCCTCATCTATTATTAGGAGTGGACTACATCCACCCTGATTGAATTGGCCCTGTCAACACTGGTTCTGCACTTGCAAAGTAACTCCCTGCTCTCCATGTGTCAGTATATAATGCCTGCATCTGTAACTTTCACTCTATGCATCTGAAGAAGTGAGGTTTTTACCCACGAAAGCTTATGCCCAAATAAATCTGTTAGTCTTTAAGGTGCCACCAGACTCCTTGTTGTTTTTGCTGTATCTGTGTTACAGCTCCACCAGAGGGAGTGCTAGAGCACACCAGTCAGTAGTACCTTGCTTATATTAGCGCTCCCACTCTTGCCAATGTTGGGGGAGCAGCAGCAGTGGTAGTGCAAAGGTGGGACATTTGGGGGTGGGGGGGGGGACATGTAGAGATTAAAACTAACACCACAGTGCAGACAAGGTCAGAGTGTCAGCATGCTCTCTCCAGCACTCCTTGCTCATGGCAGCTCAGGAAGCAACAGTTGGAATGCAGGAATCAAGCCCCACATTGTACTAGAGAACAAAAATCACAGGACAATTAAAGCAGCCTGGAATAACGTCTAATCCCAAAGCAGAGAGCAAGCAGTATTTTCGATCCAAGAGAGAGGAAATATTGGTATAGAGGGGTATAGCCTATTCAGGAAGGCCTGACAGGGAACGAAGGGAGGAGGTGTTGCATTATACATCAAGAATACATACACATGTTCTGAGGTCCAGAAGAAGGTGAGAGGCAAACCAGCTGAAATTCTCTAGGTAAAGATAAAAGGGGAAACCTGGGGTCTATTATAGACGACCAAATCAAGAAGAGGAGGTGGATGAGGCCTTTCTAGAACAGAAAGAGCCAAAACACAAGACCTGATAGTAATGAGGGCTGTTAACTACCCAGATATCTGTTGGAAAAATAATATGGCAAAACATGAAATTTCCAATAAGTTCAGGGACAAATTTTTGTTTTCAGAAAGTGGAGGAAGTAACCAGGGGGAGAGACATTTGAGACTTGAATCTGACCAACGGAGAGGAATTGGTTGTGAATTTCAAGGTGGAAGGGGCACTTTGGGTAACAGTGACTATGAAATGATAGATTTCATGATTCTAAGCAAAGGAAAGAATGAGAGAAGCAGAATACAGACAATAGCAGACTTCAAAAAACAGACTTCAATAAACTCAAAGAACTGGCAGGTAAGGTCTGTGTAAGAAAATGTAAGGGATAAAGGAGTTCAAGAGAACTGGCAGTTTCCCAAGGACACAATATTAAAGGCACAACTACAAACTATCCCGATCTGAAAGAAAGATAGGAAGAACAGTAAGAGGCCAACATGGCTCTAACAGGAGCTCTTTAATGACCTGAAAATCAAAAAGGAATCCTACAAAAAGTGGAAACATGGATTTATTGCTAAGGAGGCATATAAAGGAATTGCACAAGCATGTAGGGACAAAATCAGAAAAGCTAAGGCACAAAATGGCAAGGGACGTAAAAGGCAATAAGAAGAGGTTCTTTAAATACATTAGGAGCAGGAGAAAGATGAAGAAAAGTGCAGGTCCACTGCTTAGCAGGAAAGGAGAGCTAATAACTGATGACATCAAGAAGGCTGAGGTGTTTAATGCCTATTTGGCTTCAGTCTTCACTAAAAAGGTTAATGATGACCAGATACTCAACAGAATTAATATTAACAAGGGGAAGGAACACATGCCAAAATAGAGAAAGAACAGATTAAAGACTATTTAGATAAATTAGGCCTGGTCCACACTACCCCCCCACTTCGGACTAAGGTACGCAAATTCAGCTACGTTATTAACGTAGCTGAATTCGAAGTACCTTAGTCCGAACTTACCGCGGGTCCAGACGCGGCAGGAAGGCTCCCCCGTCGATTCTGCGTACTCCTCTCGGCGAGCTGGAGTACCGGCGTCGACGGCGAGCACTTCCGGGATCGATCC